CACTGAAGAGACACCACCTGTCTTCAGCTGTACTGATGAACTTCTACCGCTGTGTGATCGAGAGCATCCTGACCAGCAGTGTCTCAGTCTGGTACGGAAACTGCTCTGTCACAGACCGTAAGGCGCTACAGCGGGTGGTAAAAACCGCCCAGCGCATCACAAGGTGTCCACTTCCTGCAATTGAGGATGTCCAAAGAAAACGCTGTCTGCGGCGAGCTCACGGCATCCTTAAAGACTCCTCCCACCCTGCCCACAGACTGTTTACCCTCCTGCCCTCCGGCAGGCGCTTCAGAAGCCTCCGGACCAGAACCAGCAGACTGAGGAACAGCTTTTTCCCCAGAGCTGTTTCTCTACTGAACTCTACCCCCGAACTCTGAACTCTGTCTGTCTCTCTCTCTCTCTCCCTCTCTCTCTCCGCCCCCTGCTGACCCCCCCTTTCCCCTGCATATCACCTCACACCCATCATCCCCCCACCACTCCTCCTGGTCACACACACACATCTCTCATCCACCTGTATTATTGTATTATAGTATGTTCATATTATGTCCATATTCTTTATATTATCTGTAAACTAGTATAGCATGCTCACTGCATCTTAATCTGTATATTATTAGTATAGCATGCTCACTGCACCTTAATCTGTATATTATAATCCTAAGAATACACTTATATTTATAGCATTTACTTATATTTATAGCATCCCATTCATCCAGCCATCCAGATATACCTAATAATTCACTTTTTTTAGTCTACATCTGTAAATTTTGTAATTACTGTACATAGCACAGACTCTTGCACTTTCTGCTTATTTGCACTTCTGGTGAGATGCCAAACCTCATTTCGTTACTCTATACTTGTATATGTGTAATGACAATAAAGTTGAATCTCATCTCAATCTCACTATTTTATCCATTGTAAATTCCTCATTGCTTACAGGATGTTTTCCTACTTATTTTAAACATGCAACGATTCCATCTTAAAGAAACCAAATTTAGACCCAGCACTGCCTATGAACTAAAGGGCAATTTTAAAATTGCCATTTATGTCCAAAATATTGGAAAAGGTTGTGGCCAATCAACTCACTGCTGTGTTGGACTCTGTGTCAGGGTTCCGGAAAGGGCATTCCACTGAAACCGCTCTATTGAGGGTCTCCAACGATATTTTAATGTCTGCTGATGGAGGTGATTTTTCAGTGATTGTTCTTCTTGACCTCAGCTCCACCTTTGAAACAGTTGACCGCCCTAACCTCACAAAGAAACTACATGACTGGGTGGGATTATCAGGTACAGCCCTGGACTGGTTCTCTTCGTATCTAAGTGAAAGGACCTTCACTGTCTCAGTTGGTGAGTTTATGTCTGACTCCTCTCCTTTATTGTGTGGAGTCCTGCAAGGTTTAGTCCTGGGACCTCTGTTGTTCTCTCTCCATCTGCTTCCCTTAGGAAAGATTATACAATAGTTTTAATATTGCATATCATCTTTATGCAGATGATATACAACTGCAATTTTCATTTAAACCTAGCGAAGCCTCTACGTTGTCCAGGCTCCTAGACTGTATAAATGCTATCAACGACTGGGCAACTGCTCATTTCCTACAACTAGATGCAGAACAAACAGAAGTCCTAGTTATTGCCCAAGACAAGTATGTTTCTACGATCATGCAAAACATTGGGCCCCTCTCCACTGCTGTTTGCACCAACCTCCATAATCTGGGAGTAATTTTCAATCCTTCATTATCACTAGACAGCCATGTTAAACAGCTAACCAAATCATGCTTTTTTCATTTAAGAAATACCAGTAAGCAAAGAACATTAGTGTCTTTGGCAGAACTTGAGATGATCTTGCACGCCTTTGTCTCATCTCGTATTGATTATTGTAATGCTCTTTTCACCTCACTTAGCACATCCGCCCTAAACCGTCTCCAGTCAATCCAGAATGCTGCTGCTCGATTACTCACCAAGTCAAACAAACGGTCTCACATCACTCCAATACTGAAAACACTGCACTGGCTCCCTGTGGCATATAGGATTAAGTTTACAATTCTCATTCTCACCTTCAGAGCCATTCACGGTCAGGCCCCAGATTATCTGTCAGAACTCATTCACCCGTATTCACCCACCCGTTCACTAAGGTCAAACACCTGCTGTCTGTCCCGCAGACACATTTTAAGGCTCGTGGGGATCGTGGGTTTCAGTCCATAGCACCAATCCTTTGGAATTCTCTACCCACCTCCCTACGTCTTTCTGACTCTGTTGAGTCTTTGGAAAAACAATTAAAAACGTTAATGTTTAGACAGGCCTATAGATAATCAGGTCCACCCAGTGTACCTGCTCATCTGTGTTTTATTGTGCCAATTATTGTTCCTGGTTATTGTAGGATTTTATAATGTCGTCCATGACGTACTCATTTTTTATTTTTTATTATTTTATTGTATGTATACTGTTGTTGTTTTTTTGTTGATGTAAAGCACTTTGTGACCTTTGTCTGTGAAAAGTGCTATATAAAAAAACTTTGTTATTATTATTTATGATTATTATAATATAAATAAACTTTATTCAAGTGCTACTTTTTGGCCAAGATGTGAGGCAACGCAAGGCGACGCCACAGGCGGCCTTCGTCGCCACTAGTTCTTTACCGTCTGCTTGGTGTGTCAGGGCCTTTACATCATCAGTGTCCAAACTTCCCGTAGGTTTACCAGGAAATGGCAGAGCCAGCCAATCAGATGCAGTACACCTGTCAGAAATGTACAGATATCTGCATGGTGTATATTTTACAGGGGCGTACTTCATTCAGATAGAAATGATAGTGAATATACTCCATGTATTACATAACAGAAGAAATGTGGTTTTCTCCAAACACTAACGTGCTCTTTATGAGCAGATCTGCACAGCTATTACTCTACATATGTTGAAATACAACACCTTCAGGAGGCATGCCAGGATGTTTTTGGACCAGTCATTAACCACAAACAGAACATAGATCAAAAGACATTATTTTAGTAAATCTGCATATTGTTGAAAGAAAAGTCAGACAGAGAAAAAAGGGAATAAAAGTAAATCATATGTGAAGTACTTCCAGACCTTAAACAGAGCACTGCATTGGATGGAGACACGAGGACAGACTCACCAGGTGAATAGTAAAAAATATCCAATAACTTAATTTACTTAACACCAGAGGTGCGTCAAAGTCATTGTTTTGCAAGTCACAAGTTAGTCTCAAGTCTTTGACCTCTAGTCCGGAGTGAAGTCCAAAGTAATGACAAGCAAGTCTCAAGTCGAGTCACAACTACTAACCTTTGAATTTTGAGTCCTAAACAAGTCATTAGCTCTCTTCACCAAATAATAGCCACTATCGTTAAGTTGCTGATCGTTGATAAATGCAGACACAGTGCGAGTCCAAGTCATGTGACTCGAGTCCTTTTTTAACTATTTGTAGTAAGGCCATTAATTTTTTTCTCATATTAAATTTAAGGAAACTGCAGAATTATGAAGCTACACGATGATGAACCTTGAAATGAAAAAAATAGTTGATCTTAAGCTTGTAAAGGTAAAGTCTCAAAAGACAGAAAGTCAACAAGCTATTGGGGCTGTGTGGACAATATTTATTATACAAGTATCCATGGAATAGGAAGGTCTGAAAAGAGAACTACAGCATCTAAAGTCAAGTCAAGTTTATTTAAATAGCACATTTCAGCAACAAGGCAATTCACACAAGTGCTTGACACAAGACATCAAAAGCCTCATGACTAAGAGAATGAGAAACGTAAAAATGTAATATTTTAAAATCACTAAAAAACCATCACATCAGTGATAAAAAAAACAAAATGAAATAAATATGAAAAGATGTTTAAATAAAGATCCAAAATAAATAAAGAAATATGACATTAAAGTACAAAATAAATAAATAGCCTCATATAGAATGTAAAGATGGTATCTGCTCTGAAGTCCCCGACTATAGAGTCCTATTTTTTGGACTGACACGGATTGACCTGCCGATCTGGCCTATTCGAAATGGGCTCTGTTTACCAATCCAAAAATATACTATTAAGATGACCACTATGTCTAAAAGGCTCATTTATAACATAATTACTAATCACTTTGTCTACTGTTTTATACCCGAGTACACACATTCATCCTCAATGTTTCGTGGTCTTCTGGATCTGTTGACCCTGTGTCCCCTCAACGCTGCGTAATGGATGTCTTCCTCATTGTGGTCAACCTGGTAATAAGATATGAGTCTTAGTAAATATCAGCAAATCACAAAAGAGCATCTCAGAGTAAAAAATAACCTTAAGAATCAGTGTATAAAAACCATTATTATTAATTTATTTTAATTTTAAAAGTGGGCAGCTTCCAACTCATATACAGGTAGGAAATAAGTGCAGAGAGAGACTAAAGCTTAGTCACAGACATGCACCATTATAACTATAAGTGGAGCCACATCACCCACTGCGTGTGACACGATATGATTGAAAATATGAAAATATATGAGATTGGGGAATGACATGCGGGGAAAGGTCGGACTTGAACTAGGGGTGAATACTTAGAGGTCTGTAACCTCTGTAGATGGGGAGCAACCTAACCGCTGGACAATCAGCGTCCCTGGCAACACTTCTTAACAACTTTACTCCCTCATTAGGGTCATGACCATACACTTAAAGAAAACAGTGGTAAACAGTTGAGTGAATAAGCCTAGTTTGCTAGATGCTAGTTTGATTTAAAAGGCTCTTCAATTTAAGACAACATGTGACCATCAAAGGTGGGAAGCACAACGCTTGGCAAATTGGTTGAGTGCTGCTGGTCCTTACTTCCCAACTATCAATGTTACAGTAGGATGAGAGGTCAACTAGCAGGATTGCAAACTCCACATGGTGAAAACAGATGGTATTAGAAAGAACTACTCAGCTGCACAGAAACAGTAAGTTGTGGACTTCGCTGCGCACAACGGAAAACATTTTTTCCCTTTTTTTTTTGGGCAGAAAAGTTAATCTAATCACAAAGTACCTGTTCATCTGTTGTGGAGGGAGTTGAAATTATTGCACCAGATTCTAGAAAAGAATGAAAAAGTTCCTTTACTATCAAACTGTATCAAGTGAGTAAACACTGTCAACAAGAAAGAAACGCGGTGACAGTACCTTTACACTTGCAGTTGTTTCTCTTGTAGATCAAGCACGTAATGACGGCCAACAATAAAATCAAGATGATGGTAAAAGTCAAAGCTCCACTCAAGATATACACCAGATGCTCTACATCTGTAGAGAGTCAGACATGAGAGTTTTAAAAGGCAGAATTATTCTTAGAAATAAAAAGACAACCCCTTCTAAAATAGTAACTCACCTGTGATGATCACCTTGGTCCCGTTTCCAAACAGAATGTGTCCACATGAAGCGACAGCGCAGTAGTAAGTCCCAGCATGAGAGTGATCAACGCTCTTTATTGGTAAGTTGTACTCACAGCTTTGTTGGTTGGGTTTCCTTGGACATGAACTATTCCTGTCTCCTTGGGTGTAAATGAGTCCTGAGTGAGATTCTTCAGAGTTTCTGAACCAGTAAACACTGTGTTCTCCATCACAGGTCCCAGTGTGGACCGTACAGCTCAGGGTCACAGCATCTCCATGCTTGGTGGTCTCAGATGCTGATTGATTGATCAACAATTGAAAGTTCAAACCTGAGCCTTTTACACTGAGAGTGGTGCCCTCCATAAATTCAAACAAGGACAAACTGCTACGTGCACAGTAGTATGTAGCTGTGTCTGTAATGCGCACGTCTGTGATCCTTAAGTGATTACGACCATTTGTATTATCCAGTGTGAAGCGTGAATTATTCTGGAATTCACCGTGAAAGTTTACATTTGTTTCATATTTGTAGGACATAGAGATGAGCTCTGGTTTCTGTCCCAGAGTTTGCTTGTACCAGTAATACTTTGATGCAAATTCACCTTCATAGAAACAGCTCAAAGTGACCTCCTCACCAACATTAGCTGATATGAATCCACTCTCTTGGCGCACTTTTATCAACGGTTTTGGATCCGATGTCTGAGCTAAAATGAGAAAAAGAAAATGCTGAAATGATTTCACACTGTCAAAATGTTCTTAATCTGCACATAAAACAACTTTTGAGTAAATGCCATGAAAAGTAACCAGTCTTAAAGACACAATTCTAAAGCATAACTCACTCATCTCCCCCAAGAACAGACATTCGAGGAAGAACGCAATCATGAGAGGTGTCATGGTGTTCAAACGACTGTGTCGAATGAAACACACCTTAGTGGTCTCTTCCCTTTTAAGAGGGAGGACACAATTTGATTGGCCAGTGAGAAGTGACACAATACATTTCTGCAGAATGTTCATCTTTGAAATACAGCAGGGAAACAAATAAAATTGGGATTTTATTTTGCCAAGGGTATTTAAAAATATTGGATTTACAGCGAACAAACAATAACATAATTGCTTAGTTATTTGCATGTCTTTGTGCCAAATCTATTATAAAAATGCATCATCACTAGACCTCTGTTGAGGAAGAGACTGAATGAAATGCATTTAATGTAATTAAAAAACATAAGTGAAGAAATACAAAGATCGGTTGTCTTCTTGAGATTTTCTTTAAAGCGAAGATTATGAGAATTTCTGCAATTTTCAAGAACAAATTGACGCTGTTGGCAAGAGTGAGGATGTGAGGTTTCTTATTTGTGGCATAGTCTTGCAACATCTTTTTGATGTTAACTTGGTCGTCAGCTAAAGAAGCATGACAGAAAACCACAAAGCGTTTTCCACCTAAAGAGGAAGAAACTAAAAGCATAGCAAAGGTGAAGACTGTTTGTTCACTTTTAATCTATTTTTTTTTATAGACATCCTCTGTATTGTGATCCATGTTTTCTTTGTTTCACTGTGATATTTTAAATTCGTATTTTCAGCTTCAGACATGCTGCAATGACCTTTTCAGTGTTTTAGTGGTCTTCATCTCAAGAGACAGAAAAACCACAAAGCTATTTCCACTAAAAGAGGCAGAAACTAAAGACAAAGAAAAAGGGTAGACTGTTAGGTCTATGAGATCTAAAAGTAGCTAAGATAAAGGACATGCTACATTGGTACCATTAGTACAAATAGGCCTTTCAGATAGGATGCAGTGTTGCTCTGTGCAAGAGCGTATTGCCTAGCCTTTATCTTCAGATAAAACCTTACAAAGCAATGCATTGCTGTGAATCTTCCCTTTAACAGGCATATAGTAACCTTCAACAGTGCCAGAATCTGGGTTAAATGCCATTACCACAATGCACTTGAGAACATATACATGTTCCTCTCTGTATGTATCCAACCACCTCTTAAAATCTGCATTAGTTTTTCAAGTGAAACCAATAATTTGATCGGCAAGCTTTAAAGTAGAAGTTTCTGCAATTATCTAGGACTTTAACTTTGGTACAGAACTCATGATCTCAAGACGATGACTTGTAATACCTGTGTAGACACAGCCTCACATGATATATGTATGATAAAAGAATATACTCATTTTTCAAAATGCCATGGCTGTTGGGGAGGTACCTTCTGGTGGAGCAGAAAACTGAATAAATACAAACAAAATCCTTCATTAATCCAGGTGCCATCTAGTTTGTTCTAACATACAACAACATGAGTATAAGTTCAACCAGGAAGACTGCTTATTCTCTCACACATTCATTCATCTCTTCATTCAACTTAACCACTACCTCTACTACTTCCTCTGTCACCCTGCTCTGGTGATCATTATGGGCGTTTATTATTTAAGTAACTAACCAACTAGATTCTGCCACAATCTCTCTCAACCAATCATCCTGCTGCAGTCAAAATTTTATTTTTGCATTCGCTGCGACTCCGCCCCAGTCCGCTCCATCCCAACTCAGCAGAGTTCAGATACTGTCTCAAAAACCCACTACTCGTCACTTCCTCTATTCCTCTTCAACAGCACCTCCACCAGTGTCTAGACTCCATCAGGACTTTATCCTGTTGGCCTCATCACCCCTCTGAGTACATGAAGTCGTCATGATGATTATTTCCTTCAGCATCAAGTGTAGTTGGGTTTACACAAAGAAGGTGGTTATAATATTTTCATGTTGATGCTGAGGTAGATGTGGAAGGAGTCTTTTCAAATCAGACTATTTAGCAAGAATCTGTCCTGTTTAACTAACTATGTCCCCCAACGCAAGAGCCAAGGGGGGCTCTGAAATGTTATCTTATCCACAGCACTGCAGCTTGTTTATTGGAAATAGTTCTAGGTCTTCACTGCCAAGGCCACTTTTTCAGGATCTGATGTCAATTCATGCCCAAGAACACAAATCAGCGTTTAAACAAAAATAGAGAAATTGAACTAATCTTACTGTATCTCACTCATCAGTTAAAGTTGTCTTTGTAAGTTTCTCCTGCGTTGTGATGTGTATGATATGACACACTTTTCCAGTAAACACGGTCACATAAACAATTGACAAAAAACGAAGACAATACAATGCTCATAAAAAAGGAACAGTACCACTTACTTGCATTCATGGACATCACCGTGTAAGAACAGCTTTTTTTATAAAGAATAAACAGAGAAATCTGGTTTCTTAATGGAATGGCTTTATTGTAAAAGTTAAAAAAAAGTACAAAGATTTCAGTTTGTTTCTAATGAAAATAAAAACCCAAATTACTCCACAAAAACTTTCTTGGGCATAGAATTAATTGTTTAATTGATTATCCTCAACAGTATTTTCAGTATAGATGTTATCAGGTTTAACACACTGAAAACACTTAAGTCTCATCAAAAAAGTTCACATGACTTAAAAGTTTTTTTTTTTTTTTTTTTTTTACAGATGACTCCCAACGGCCTTTGCTCGTCTTTAACCTCCATCCAAAACACAGAATAACCAGATCAATGACCGAGATGTGATTGATTGTATAGAAGGTAAATCTTTCTACATGTGTCCTGGAAACAATAGTGATATTTATATTATTATAACCAGAGATCACATGTTTCCCCAATAAGAAGGCCTGGTTAATTACCCAGTTTGGCAGCAATTAATTCTCTATATAAATCATGTAACTAGAACTCAGTTTAATTATAAAATTTATTTGGAAAATGAATAAATACAGTTAAAAATATATATATAATCAAACTTGGTGCACATTGTTGTTAATTATAAAATAAAATCATTGAAATTTTAGATAAGATCATTTATTTCTAAATATAGTAATATAGGTGTGAAAAGCACATTCCTAGCGCTTCACACCTGAGTACACGCAATCACCCGTTTTGATGTGTCTCTGTCTTCTCGACCGTTCAGGCTGATGAACACTTAAAGCAGCATAGTGGAGATTGCCCTAGCAATATAGAAATTTGAAAATGAAATCACTATATAGTCCTTTACAGAAATTATGAACATGTCAAGAAGGTGAACAGACATTACATTTACCTCGTCGTCTCCAGTGGATGGAGCAGACAATTCTGGTTGAGACTCTGGATGTGAAACACAGAAAATGTACCTTTATTCTAAAGCTAAATTCTGTCAATAAAATAGGTGACAAAATAAAGAAAGTAACACTTACCTCTACATTGGCAGATGTTTCCCTTGATTTTCTTGTATATTGAGAAAGCCAGCGCAACAACCAGGATGGTGGTGGCTGTCAAAGCTCCGGTCAAGAAATACACTAAGGCAAGAGAGTCCACGTTATCTGCAGAGAGACAGACATCGGAAACAGAGATTTCAGGTTTTCATCTCTAAGTTTATGCATTTTTCCTGAAGACTTACAGATAACTACACCTCAAATGTCTCAAGCTGTTACCCACTTTCAAGGTCCAGCTTGGTCCCGTTTCCAAACAGAATGTGTCCACATGAAGCGACAGCGCAGTAGTAGGTCCCAGCATCAGAAAGATTCAGGTTCTTCATTGGCAAGTTGTAGACACAGGTGTCTGACTTTGTATTCTTCTCACACTGATCATTACTGTCTCCGTGGGTGTAAATGATTTCCTGGTGAGACTCTTCAGAGTTTTTGAACCGTCACAGGTCCCAGTGTGGACTATACAGTTCAGAGTCACAGAGCCTCCTGGCTGGATGGTCTCAGATGCAGACTGATGGACTAAAGCTGGGACATTCCAACCTGAGTCCTTTACACTGACTATAGTGCCCTCCGTGAAATGTAATACATATTTATAGCTACATGCGCAGTAGTAAGTAGCTGAGTCTGAAACTTTCAAATTCAAAATTATCAAGTGATTTGATTTGTTCTTTGTGTTGAGTGTGAACCGTGATTTGTCATTAAATTCATCCTGGAAAGTTATTCTTGTATCATACACGTAGAATGTAGAAATAAGCCTTGGTGTCTGACCCAGACTTTGTTTGTACCAGTAAAGCCATGCTGAGTCTTCACCTTCATAAAAGCATTTTAGTGTCACAGTGTGTCCAACTTCAGCTGAGACAAAACGTCTCTCTTGATGAATAGAGAGGGAAGATTCCTGATAAGTCAGCTGAGCTGAAGTCAGTTAAAGAGAAAACAGATAGAAAATCAGTTCAATATGACAGAACTCTGTGAAATCGTGTCAAAAAATGATCCAAAGAAAACTAAGAAATTTGCTAAAAGCTGAAGCATGAAAAGTGCAGTCAAAACTTACCCATTCCCCCAAAGAACAAATGAATCAAAAAGCAGACAAACATTGTAGATGTCGACGAAATAACCGTTCTTTATCTTGGTAGGATATTTACAAATATTTATAGTCTGTTAACAGTAATGTTGTACAGTAGTGTTGTCATGATACAATATTTATTATTCCGATAACAAGTTCATTGCCAAGATACTCGTGACTGAAACTATACTTGAAACTGAAGCTTTACTGGTTTGATACTCGATACCTAATGAATCTATAATAGGATCTCCACAATAGGTTGCTAAAACTTGGAATTCAAAGTTTATTAACAACCTGAAGTGTAAAAAATACATTAACAGTTACGTTTTTTGTCGTTGAATATTTATTTCACATTTATCAGGGCAAATAATTAAAGGATATTTATATAGTAAGTATAATATATTTATCTGGACAAATCCAGTGTGTTTTTGCAAAACTATAGAAGTCGCACGAGCCGCAACCTCCGGTGTTGAAAAATACCAAAGTTGCAGTTCTTAGAGTATCCACTTGAGGCTGGCTGCAAAAGCACCGGAAGTCACATACACACCAATTCAAAAATGCCTGTTTTTACAGCAGAAATATAAGATATTTACAGCCCGGTATAAAC